ATGTACATTTAGAGGTGGTTAACAAAAACTGTCTGAATTGGACAATAGATAGAACCTGTGTGTGCATTTTCTTAATCGTGTAAAATAAATTTCTTTTGAACTTGTGTTCACATCAGTTTACGAGTTTTCAAGAGTGAAATGATTGAATGATTGCAATATTCATTCACAGTAAAGTTACCCTTTTGGATGATTGGCTTTTACAATAGAATTTAAATAATATAATTACTTGAGCAGTTCGGTGTTTGTGTGTATATTATTGTCTTCTTTCATAGTTATTTGAATGGCTCAGTTGGTACATTGTATAGTTGTGTAGATAATGGAATAAGGTGCCAAAGAAATTTTTTTAAAAAAGTAACTTTTTGATGAAATGTTTTCACATGGGTACATTATAGTTTGTGCCAAATTTCAAATTTTGCGCTACTGAGCATGTCACTGATATGCAATGCATTATGGGAAGACAATTTCTCATTGTTTATACTATCTAATGAAATGTAATTTTTTTCAAAATATTAATGTCAGGATTTATATCAATAACACTGTATGACTTTTGCATCCTATGTTGTCACTAAGCAACATTTTTAAATATGACGAAATAATTTCATCCCAGAAACCATTGCAAAAATTAAAATTTCATGTATGTCTAGTCATTCAATTTTCTTTTCCATATGTTCTGTAGCCTTAATGGCATTACATTGCAACCCATAATAATAAAAACATGAAGATTACTACATATCAAGATGGCGTTAATTTGGTCGGAACCTCCTTAAATGTCACTATAAATAGCATATAATTGCAAACTATTTTATCTATGATTAGATTCCATGGCTTCAAAAGATTGAGCTATATGTTATCACTCAGACAATGGCATAGTTAGTATTATAAGATAATTTTAACTACTGTAAATGCATTAATTATTCACTGGGTTTTAATTTTGTTATTTTTGCTGATTAGTAAAAATTAGTAAAATTAAAACACAGTGAATGCGCTCAAAACATCAAAATAGTGAAATTAAATATCAGTGAAAATAAATAGTTTTACAGTACTGTTTGCTGTGTAGCCATAGTCAGTGTGGCAACGATCAATACATGCTTCACTAAACCTCAAAATACCGTGGATGTCAGTCTTCTGTAAACCATTATTAAATTTGCTTGTAAGTGAAGGTAGCATTCGTTTAGTTTAAGGAGTGGGGGGGGGGCATAGTCCTGTAGTAACAGATTTTTAATCAAGGTTCGGGTCCATATACATTGTATTTCAAGGGTTTTGGCATGATTTTGAGTTTATAGTAACATTGTCAAAATACAAAGTAATAATTATAAGCATAATATTCAAAATGGCGATGTAAACTGAGCTTGATCTGCATCTCTCATCTAAACCAATGTCATGAAGGCATGTCATGAAGCACAACTCTTTCCCTGAAGATTACTTCATCTTAAAATATATAATTTGTTGACACTGCATAGCAATTAAGGTACTCCATGCATGCATGGATGCATACAATGGGATTTCGAGTGTTAAATATAAAGACAAAATGATGATTCTTGTAAACTTTGACTTTTAATTTAAATCTCATGAAATAAATCAGACCTTACATGTGTAACTCTTCAATCAATGTGACAAGTTACATAGTAAATATAATACATGTCTAAAAATATATAATACTCATGCCTACTCTATTCCAACACTTTATTATAAGGTTGTCATGAGAATATCGCAAAGTATGCACGAAGAAAATAAAGTGTTCGCATTGATTGACACGTAGAGATTATTTATGAGACCCCATACTGTCTGAGTGCACTGTGATAATTATTATTATTATACATCTGTCACCGTAACACCATAATTTTGCAGTATTTTACGAGGTATTTTCATCCTACCATATAAGAAATGTGAATTCCAAATAGGGAATGATTATGCGCGTAAGCCACCTCTAATAATAAAAACAAACATGGCTGCCATCGGGGTTTGACTGGACTCCACACCAAATAAGTTCACTGATTCTGAAATTTTTGGATTTCGGTATTCCCATGATGTATCATTGGAAGAAAAATATGTATAATAATAAGGTTATTACGAAGATACCTCAAAGTATGCACTCAAACAGTACGCCATGCATTGACCTTCACTGCGCGTCGGTCGATACTGCTGCTGTACTGTCTTTGTCCTAAAGTGATAATGGTGATGAAGCATGAAATCGCCTTCAGTATTTTGCATATTAACTTTTAATACTAGTATGTTCTCATTATAAAAGAAATATATCATGTATTGTTTGCATTATTTCTCCAATCAGTAATATTTTGTTTTTCTTATATTTCTAGTTATGCATGATATTATTGGTACCATGTTCAACAAGAGATTCATGGATGAACTGTTCAAACCACAGGAAGCGTATTCTAAGAAAGCTATGCGCACTGTATTTGATAGACTAGCCCATGCTTCTATAATGAGATTAAATGCTGCTAGTATGGACAAGGTACGCAGATAGTGTTTGCTACATGTGTGTGTCTTTCTAATTATGTGTGTACATGTACATGTACTGTTGAAAGCAGTGATTGAGGTCCTTGTACTCAGTAATGATCCAGGACAAACAAATAAGCGTATATTTGATGTCATCTCTGGATGGGTTGTCAAAACAACAAACTCAATAAATAATGGGTTTTGCACATTAAAGCGCGGTGGTTGTCATAAATAAACAATGTATTTTACACAAGTTGTATATGTCGCTATGAGTCCCATATCGAACACGAAGTGGCACGACGACTGCCGCCCTTTAAGAAATTCCAGCCATCCTATTTTTTTAGCTCCGCTGTCGACTTTGTCGAGCGGAGCTTATCATATGAGTGATTGTCCGTCGTCGT